TGGTTGACTGAAATAAAAATGACAGTAGAAACTCTAAATGTTTCCTTGCTTCATGGCTAACACAGAAATTATGTGTACTGTTGAAGTGTAATGACAAAGACAATGGGACACCCTGTAGACTTCCCTTTTGGCTTAACTTGGAATGCCACCAAATTCTACACAAATCCTAATGATATTTAAGAGAAATACTGATGTCAATAAGTTCTCTGTTAGGTTTATTCTTTATACATCATGTGCATTGTTACTTTATTAGCCAGACTAGAGAGAGTGGATGGTCTTCCTTCACATTGTGGATGTCACTGTGTGTACGGAGGTCATCTAATCAGGACAGCCTTCATGTCTTTAAAAATACACAGGATATGGGCACATCTTGGAGCCGGTCTGATAGAGGAGAGCTATCTGTAATCCTTGGGCATGGATGGCGTGTCACTTTCTGATACGGACAGGAAAGCATCCACCTGATCCAACACATACACTCATGAGGTATAAGAAGGAGAAGATGACCTTGTTCGAGGCTCAATCTTTGCCGGACACTCGCAGACGTGATTTTTTGAGCCCACAGCTGTGCAAGCTCCAAGCTTTTTCTCTGTCCTGTAACGACCTGATCTGGAATAAACTCTGTTACTTTTTTACTCCTGTTTTTATAGTCCTTTTTTCATGGTTTTACCCAGTTTGAGTTAAGAGTAGTAAGTAACTTGCTCCCAGGAAAAGAACCGGTGGGGAAGTCTCGAGGCGCAACTGCTTTTTAGGGGACATAACTTCCTCATTTAACATCTCCTAAAACTTCCTATCTTACTGGCTTACACAAACATTTACTGTACTACAGAAATGAATTAACAAAACCTTGTGATCCCCTAAAGACTTACTCCCTAGCTTATCTTGGAATTTCACAGAGTATTATGTTCTTTTTCAGTGGTTACATTGAAGATATGGATCTTTTGCGCTGCTCCTTTTGACATGTTTTGAGTTTATCCTAGTTTTTGTGACCACATGGGTTGGTATATGGGGTTGCTGTGGCCGTACCCGCCAGTTACTGGACTGTATCTGAGGTCCTAACACATCACAAAAGGTCCGAACAAAGTCCGAACAAGTTCCGAACAAGTTCCGAACAAGATCAAACGAGGTCCGAACAAGGTCCGAACAAGATCCGAACAAGGTCCTAACGGGATCAAAGTGTTTCAACAGAGGACCAATCAATTCCGTCGGAACGGCTCACGTGACGGTGGACCAATCACCAGTCCTCTACGTCCTCTACGTCCTCAACGTCACGGTCCCGTGACTTAGAGGGCGTTTTACTGTAAGCATCAACAACAGAGCGCTAAAAAGGTATGGAAACTTGATTAATACTCATAAAAACACCGCCATAAAAAATGAAAAAATAAACGATTTAATTTCCCATAAAACACCACCATGAAAACATTAAAAAAAATAAGCGATCGCATGATATTTAACTGTTATTCAAACTTTCTTATGCGCTTGCACTGTGTGGCTATGGTGTGAATATACGTAATATTAGACTAGAGATACTTTATTGTTATTTTATATGCACAGAGTGTATGCAAAACGAAATTCCGTTGCATACAACTTGCAACAGTGTTATGAGCAGTTTGCAACTGTGTAATGAGCAGCTTGCAAAAGTGAAAGAGTGAAATAAACATTATTATTTATAAAGTGCAGCAGTGATCAGAATGTAAACAGTGTAGGAGAGAAATAAAACATTAAAGAAATAATTGTGCAAAAGGCCATTAATATTAAAAATGCAGTGCAAAATGAATATGGTGCAAAATGCAGTAAAACGTTGAGTTGCATTCTATTTAAAAGGATTATAAAAGTTCTGCAGTTTAGTAGTACAAAATAATGTTATCAGACCAATTATATCTTAATTATTCGTCTATTTGCTGTAAAAACGTCTCTTTCTGTCGTCTGTGTGTCACTATACACACATAGCTTAGCTCCATGTTAACCTGTTTTATATTTGATGTTTGCAGATGACTAAGACAGGTAAGCCAGATAGCTACTGGAGGGACATCTGCTCAAAATATGCCCAGGGCAAATTCCACTTCTCAACTGGCAAACGGCCAGGGGCCAAGAAATGGAAAAAGGCCTTGGAGAGAATAGATGCTTGCCCCTTGCAGAACCGTACAAACATTAGGGATCTGTTTGGGAGAAGCCTTCAGTGCTCCTGTGGGTTCCACAAGGTAGGTGAAACAATTTTTTTTAATTGCCTTTTGCTGCTTTTTGTCTCTTCTAGTGGGCTTTGGTGGTTTTGCAGTAATGCAAAGCCTGTTTGTTTTTGTTTTTTATGCACATCCAAATAAAAAATTATTTTAATTTATTTTATTCATCATTCTATTATAAGTCATGATGAGTCACTGTAGCATATGGACTTATTTATTTAACAATATATATCTGTACAGTTTTAGGCAAGGCTAGTAGTATAGGATTATACTATTAATGTTGCATGTAGTATGATCCTTTCTTTATACCATCCCCAGCCAGCAGATCTGCCATCAGGCGCTGGGTCCAGTGCAGCATCAGGTGTTGAGACAGAAGCAGGGCAAGTCCGATTCAGCGCTGAGGTAGAGAGAGGAGGAATGGAGACAGGTAGAAGAGACAAGGAGACAAAGAGAAGTGACACAGATGCAGGGGGAGCCTCAGTCAGCACAGAGGTAGAGAGAGGAGGCACCGAGACAGGGAGAGGAGACACAGAGACAAGGAGAGGAAACACAGAGACAAGGAGAGGAAACACAGAGACAAGGAGAGGAAACACAGAGACAAGGAGAGGAGACACAGAGACAAGGAGAGGAGACACAGAGACAAGGAGAGGAGACACAGAGACAAGGAGAGGAGACACAGAGACAAGGAGAGGAGACACAGAGACAAGGAGAGGAGACATGGATGCAGGGGGAGTCCAAGACAACACAGAAGCAGGGAGAGGAGACACAGAGGCAGGAGCATCAGTGGCAGGACAGGAAGTGCAGTGCTACAAGTGCAACCAGCATGTGAAGGGAGATAAATTTTCAGAGCACCTGTCCGACCACCATACAGAGGAGGTGTGTGAAACCTGTGGTGCTAAGGTGCAGGGTACTGTTGGTCTTTTAAACCACATCCAACTGGTTCACTATGCAGCATTAACGATGCCCTCACAACCAAAGCCACTAGCCAAGTGCTACGAAAGCACGACCAACAAAAAAGCAATACCATCAAAGACAACACCATCTCTGCTCTCTCCTTCATGTAGCTCTGACACGCCACAGCACACTGCAGCTCCATTAACCTCAAAATCAACTGCAGTCAACTGGAAAGGTTTTCTTCCTGAGCAATTTCGGAGAGTGATAAAAGAAGCAGATCAGGTGTGGATTTCCAAATGCCTTTATGAAAAAACAGGCCAGCTGAAACAAAGATTTCAAGCCTGCTGGTTTCACCCCCCACTGGAGCCCAAACCATCTCCTCCTGAGCCTGGGTGGTACTACCGGCAGAGGCTGTTCATCTGGGCACCAATGAGGATGTGGGGGATTCCTTTAAAATGCCCACAATGTTCCCGGAAAATGAACAGCTCTGGGATCTACAGAAAGGTGAGGGAGGTGATTGATGTGGATAGCCGCTACTACCTAGTGGGAGGGGACTATCCACGTTGCAGCAAGTGCTCTCAGCCGGTCTGCCCATGGAGTCAGGACATGCTCTCCCAGGTTGATGTGGCACACAGGAGCTTGTTCCCCGCTGTCCTCACTACACAGCTGGCTCTGGACAGAAAATGCATGACGTTTCTGAAGCCAAGGACAACTGGCAACAGTTCCTCCTACCTCCAGTCTGCTATACAGGAAGCGCACAGTGAAGAGTGGGCACGGCAGACCATCCGCTACCTCTCCGACTGTGAGCGCCATATGAAGATGGCTACTTTCCTCCACTCTCCAGCTGTTCTTCCACCACCACCACCCTTCAGGCCCCTTCCTCTTGCTCAGTGGTTTGAGACCGCCCACTCAAATGATATCCTCAGCCACATTGAGGAGATGAAGGGAGTCATCACTTCTACCTATGGTAGAATTCTTAAAATGGACTCAACAAAGAAGGTTGGGATTTCAACATTAAAAAAGAATATAAAATAGAGAATGCATGATTTCAACAAAACAGAAATTGGTTTACTTCTTAGTGCTTGTTTTTTTTTTACAGATCACCAAGAAGCTGGCTGGTGGGATCGAGGACAGTGCTGCATGGATGTCAAACATCGGCAACGAGTTTGGCCAGGTGTTGAACTCTGTGCTGACAACGGGTGAAGGTGCAGGGTTGGAGGAGTTGTGCCAAGGAATTGTCAACCGGTATAGGAATGCAGGCCAAGCTGAACCTGAGGTCATCTATGTTGACAGAGACTGCTGCAGCCAGACAGGTGGGTGAAAATTGCTCTCTCTCTGTCACACACTTTTAGAACCATTTGTAAAAATGTTGTTTGGGGGAGAAGTGGTAGTGACAATTGGCAGTTTACTTAATCATGGTGTAACCACACACAGGTCTATGTTATTATGAATGGTTGTTTTTCACAGGAGTGTCTTCAGTAGCAAAGCTCTTTCACCCATGGAAGTCTGCGGTGCGCTTGGACAGCTTCCATTTCATGAGACGTTTTAACTGCGGCCTCACTACAGAACACCACCCTCTCTATGGCACCTTTTGCTCCAAGCTTTCTGCCTGCATTTTCATATGGGACCAGGACGATGTGCAACGCCTGAAGGAGGCCAAGAGAGCAGAGTGGAGGAGCAGCCACAGTGGACAAATACCCACTGAAGAGCAGCTCATGGCCACCATCAGCCCGGCGGAACTGAAGAGACACTGCAGGAGGAGGACGCGTGGAGTGGAAGAGATGCGGAGCATGATTTCAGGGCTGCTGGAATCAGTGTGGGAGCTGACAGACACCACAGGCCTGCGTTTGGTAAATCATGACAGCATGCGCCACGTGTGGGAAGTGCAGCAAAAGCATCTGGAGTGTCTACAAGATCCTGTAGGTGTTG